GAGTTGCCCAGGCAGGTCTTGAACCCGCGGGCTCAGGCAATCCACTCACCTCAGCCTCCCAAAACGCTGGGATTACAGGCTGAGCCACCGAACCCAGCTATCACATTGTTTTTCAAAGTAGTCTTGGGTATGAGGTAGTTTGTCATGGTTATGATTTTCGTTTCTCTAAGATAATCTAGAACAACACATAAGTGGTCCACCTGTGCTCTGTGGCTTTAGTTGTCCACTCTAACCACGGCTAGATGATTTGATTAAGATTAGGACAAGCATGGTAGCTCACACCTATAATCCTAACACTTTAGGAGGACGTGGCAAGAGGATTGCTTGAGACCAGGAGTTGGAGACCAGTCTAGGCAAAATAGCAAGACCTTGTCTCTACAAAAAAAAAAAATTAGCCAGGCATGGTGGAGCACACCCATAGTCCCAGCTAACCAGGAGGCTGAGGTGATAGGATTGTCATCCCAGGAGGCCTAGGCTGTGGTGAGCCATGATACCCAACCTGGATAACAGAGCAAGACCCCGACTGAAAGGAAAAAAGATAAGACCCAGTGTAACTGGTTGACTCAATCACATTCTCTGGAGAAGGGATTTTCTTCCTGCTGGCAGATAAGTAACTGGACTTTCTACTATTTTTTTTTTTTTTTTACAAGAAGTCAAGCAATTCAACAGATTACTAGAAATAATTTTTCTGGTCGCTAGAGGGCAGTGCTTTGTATAGTGAGTACTTTAAAACTTGAATAACGGATGATACTCTAGTTTGTGAAGGTGGGAAGAAAATACCAAAATGTCAGGAGCTAGGTTCCTCTTCTCAGGAGTCGTGGAATGGGCAGCATGTACAGGCTGAGATCCACCTAAGGAAGACTGACTTATTGGTGAATCACTGGACATGCTGAAAAGTTGTTATAACATCAAACCAGAATGGGAAACTTGCACAGTATATAGATTTGAGACCAACACTGCTTGTTCCTGTCCACCTCATTACCTGGGAGTTAGTAGCATTCTTAGAGGAAAGTGTAGGTCCATAAATGGAGTGTGATGTGATCATTTTTTTCTAAATTTTTTTTCTGTATTTTTGATTCAGAGTCTCTCACCCATGCTGGAGTGCAGTGGCACAATCACGGCTTACTGCAGTCTTGACCTCCTGGGCTCAGGTGATCCTTCTGTCTCATCCTCCTGAGTAACTGGAACTATAGGTGCATGCCACCATGACCAGCTAATTTTTTTTTTTTAATTTTTGTAGAGATGAGGTCTTGCTATGTTATTTAGGCTAGCCTCCAATTCCTGGGCTCAAGCAAATCTCCCATCTCAGCTTCCCAGCTGGGATTATAAGCATGAGCCACCATAGCAGGCCATGATAATATTAATGGCTACCATTTATCAATGCCTCAGGAGCTGATTTTCTGCATTAACTCTAATCCTCGAAACAACTTTGTGGAGTTAATGTCCTGCTTTATAAGCAAGGAAGCAGTGTTGGTTTGTGACTTGCCCAGGGTTGCATGACTGAAATGCAGTACAGCTGGGATTCAAACTTGGGCCTGCCTGACTCCAAAGCCCTTCCTTTTGCCATCACCCTGTGGGTCATATCATGTTCCTATAAGGGCCAAGGGAAAACTTCCCCTTGCCTTC